CTTTTGCACCCTGTCATACTTCATGAACGTGATCCTGAAGTGACTGGCTGAGAGCCCACGGCGAAAGCATGGATGTCCTATTTTCGCATTGGCTAGGCGCCAGGCCAAGCTTTGAGCTTCTCTGCAGGGCCAGTGACTGCTGCCCATGCTCTGCGAATTCGAGATTCTTCAGACACTAGGCCGAAAGTTTGAATCTTCCCAAAATATCACGACCCTGTGATGTTGTCCTCCTGCTTATCTTGACCCTGGGCTTGATGTTACGATTTGCCAGCGGCAGCAATGGAGCGGGTAGCGATGGTCGATGCTCGTCCCGCTCTGGCTCCGCTCGGCAGCTTGATACAACGTTCCCGAGAGGAACTCGAGCGGTGGGCGCTACGTGAAAGATTCACGGTCAACCAGGGCTTCCAATAAAGGGCCGGATCCCGCCTTCGTTATTGAATTCGAGTTTGTAAACAACCATTCTTCTGATTGTATCTATTGTGTTCTCTTCCTGGGTGAAGAACTTTCTTTTGTTCATTTCATTCTTCCACATTCATTCTTAGGTTCCTATTTTGAATAGAACCCTCTAATAACATCCTGGTTGACTCGAAAAGTTATATTCTGTCTTCATTGTGGGAGGTTCCATTCTCCAAGCCCTTAACTACTTTTCTTTTACAGTACCCTCCTTTTCCCTTTTTGCTTGTACACTTTGTTCAATTCGACCTCCAACTCCTCCACCATCTACATTTTTTTCAAGAGAGCTTTAGAATACATCTCAACTGCATTTTATTATTCGGGGCTGGTTATACCGCATGCGCCGGTCGCTTTAGACATTCGACAGTATGCATTTCTCGCGTTTTGTTCCTCGCTCCTCTCCCCGTCTGCCGCCATATGGAGCGCACGATCCCCCTGCAATGCAAAACCCGGCGCCGGCTCCAGCTCCTCCGGGAGCAATTACCCCCTACCTCGGATTTAAAGCTCGACTTTCACAAGTATGGATCAACAAGTGGACGATATTACTGCTTCTCGTCCTCGCTCGAGTCCTCATCGCCATCGCTGGGTTGAACGACAACATGTCCTCTGCAAAACGAGAAGCACTCTCTGCGTGCACCAGTGTCGAATCGATGGGAAGTGCCATGGCATCGATGCCTCATTATATGTCCAAGGGTGTTAATGAACTCACTGCGTCTGGTGTGGAGAGAGCAGTCAATGGGCTCATGTCAATGTTACTTTTGACAGTCACGGGAGTGGAAGAAGTGGTCGTTTTCTTCGTCAATGTCTTGACGCAAACATACCTCTGTCTTATTACCCTTGCCATATCTGGGAGCTTGCACGTTGCTTTGAAGGTGGTCGAGGAAGCTGCAGATTTTCTCAACAAGACCTTGGCAGAGGTGACCGAAGGTATTGAAAAAGGGGTTAACGGATTTGAAGACAAAGTCAACGACTTCCTCAAGGGCATCAACACGATTACCAGTGCGTTTGGTGGGAAGAAGGATCCTCCAAGGCTAGACATCGGTGGAGAGCTTGACAAGCTGAAGGATATTCGTTTGCCCTCTTCCCTGGACGAAGGCCTCAAGAAAATCAACGATTCGATTCCGACATTCGAAGAAGTTAACAAGTTCGCTAATGATGCTATTCGATTTCCGTTTGAAGAAGTCAAAAAGCTGATGAATCAGTCGTTGGTTGAATACAAATTCGACCGTTCCGTATTTCCTGTTCCTCCGAAGGAGAGACTCAGCTTTTGCAACGATAATGATGGGATCAACTCTTTTTTCAGCAAGCTAAAGTCGATCATTTCAACGGCACAAAAAATATTTGTTGCAGTGTTGGTCGCCGGTGCAATCGCTGCGTGTGTGCCAATGGCCCTACTAGAAATTCGAAGATGGCGACACATGAAGGAACGAGCCGCACTCGTTCAGAAGAATGACCATGATCCCATGGATGTTGTCTACATCGTTTCTAGGCCTTATACGTCGACAACTGGATTGAAGATCGCTAGTTGGTTTAAGCTAGGCCGACGACGGGTCCTAGTTCGCTGGATTGTGGCCTACGTAACGTCCCCTGCAGCTCTGTTCCTGCTTGCGCTTGGAATTGCAGGACTATTCTCCTGTACCTGTCAGGCTATTCTTCTCCAAGCCGTCAAGAA